ATATAGATATAGATATAGATATAGATAGATATAGATTGTGAGATAACAGTCCAACTTTATTCTTTTGCACGTGGCTATCCAGTTGTTCTAGCATCATTTGTTGAAAAAGCTGTTCTTTCCCTCATTGAATGATCTCGGCACTCTTGTCATTCATCAATTAACCATAGATGAATAGGTTTATTTCTGGATTCTCAATTTTATTCCATTGACCTATATGTCTATCTTTATGCCAGTGCTACACTGTTTTGATTACTATAGCTTTGTAGTAGTAAATTTTGAAATCAGCAAATGTGTGTCCTCCAACTTTGTTCTTTTTCAAAATTGTTTTGACTATTTGTGGTCCCTTGCATTTCACTATGAATTTTAAGATCAGGTTGTCCATTTCTGCAAAAAAAAAAAAAAAAAAAAAAAAAAAAAAAAAGTGAGGCAGCTGGAGTTTCACTAGAGATTGCATTAAATCTGTAGGTCAATTTGTGAACTATTGCTATCTTGACAAAATTATTCTTCCAAGGCATGAACACATGTTGTCTTTCCATTTAAGTCTTTAATATTTTTCATCAGTATTTTATAATTTTCAGAGTATAAGTTTTATAAGCCTTTTGTTAAAGTTATTCCTAAGTATTTTATTCTTTTTAATGCTATTGTAAATAGAAATTTTTTAAATTACCTATTTGAATTGTTCATTTCCAGCGTATAGAAATATAACTGATTTTTGTGTGTTGATGTTGTGTCCTCAATCTGTGAGATTCATTTATTAGTTCTAGTAGTTTTTAATGAATTCCTTAGGAGTTTCATACACAAGATCAAGTCATCTGTTATTAGAGATAACTTCACTTCTTTCTGTCCAATACAGATGTCTTTTATTTCATTTTCTTGCCTAACTCCCCTGATTAGAACCCTCAGTGCAATGGTGGATAGCAATGACAAGAGCAGACATCCCTGTCTTGTTCCTGATCTGAGGGAGAAAGCATCCATTCTTTCATCATTAAGTATGATATTAGCTGTGGATTTCTCACAGGTGTCTTCTGTCA